TCAATGATGAGAGAGAATCATTGATCGGCTGCCTCCTAAACCACCCCCATCCCTCCTCAGGGATCGAGCCCACAACCCGGGCATGTGCCCTTGACCAGAATCAAACTTGGGCCAATGCTCTATCCACTGAGCCAAACCATCTAGAGCTGTTTAGCTGTATTTTGTGTACAATGCTTTACTTAAGGTTTGTGCATTAGTGCTCAGGAAAGCTATTTCCTGCTGCCTTAACAGGTGATATTGGGTTCATATCACCAGAAATGACTGTGAGGCCTTCATGCCTTCTGTTCACTCTCACAACATAAATAGCACCAGACGAGTCAGAGCAGGAAGGTCTTTAAAATCAATCTATTATGTGCCCTGTAACTGGGCTCTTTTTTGCTTGCTGTTGTTTTTGGAATAGCTTTCACAACATAAAATAGTACTAGTCACAAGACTGTGATCTGAGAGATACTGAACCAATAAGACGGAACTGAGAGTTCAAAACTCTCTCAGGATGAGTGGCTTTAGGACAACAAAGATGGCATTTCATTTTAAAGGGAAAAATGGTGTGGGGACAGGAACAAAGCCATTTGAAAACAATCTCTATCTTAATCTACACAAAGATAAATCTCAGATGATTTGAAATTTATATGAGAAAGTCAAGCTATTAAAGTTCTAGATGAAAAATATTGGGTCTAGTCAAACCTTGGTCCTCAAACCAGGTTGTTTATAGAAATAATGTCTCAAGTTGTGGAATTTCAGTTCTCTACCTCATAACCCTTTCTTGCTGATACAACAGCATGACAAAAAGTGTCCCTCAGGCCACAAAAAAAGGAGAGGATGTGAGTCAGTTTACCACTAAACCTTGTTTGTTATCTCAGGAAATTGTGCCATGAATATTTTTTAGGGGAGATGTGTGTGTGTGTGTGTGTGTGTGTGTGTGTGTGGAAGGGGGCGTTGCTTTTGTTGCTGATGAAATGGACAATTAGCACCATTTTAAAACATAAAGAGGCATCAAGAGTGCTACTGTTGCTAAGGGTGTGAAAGAAGCAATGACCACAGGCAGTTGAAGAGGCAGGAAAACTGGCTGATTTGGGTGAAGGAAAAGCAGTTCGCCCGTGGCAGCATTTCCAGGCAGTGACATGTGACCGAGTGAAGATGCCACAGGCTGCCCTGAAAGACACACCTGGACCAGTGCTGAAGGGGGTGGTTTGATAAATGTAAGAAAAGAAGTGTTTGTTCATAGGTTAAACGGTGCGTTAGACATGTACCATATATAAGAAAGGTTAAAATGGAATATTTGGGAGTCTGGAATGAGTTAATTCAATTTACATTATTTGTAATGGTAAAATATGATTCAGTTTTCAAACAAATCACTTCTTGAACAGCCTTCCAGAATGAATGAAGTTTGAGAACCAAGGTTCTACTGTAAATCATTTTCTAATTTTTCTTTGGAAATCAAGTAAATTTGATTCATCAGAATCTGAATGGCAAGTGTGTCCAAAAACTAAAAGATAACTGTGAAACTTGAGAAAAAAGCATTAACAACAAATACGAGACAATAGGTGATGTCCTAGTTATATAAGGTTCTTCAAATTCACTTAAGGAAACCAGCAACCAAATAGAAAAAAATGGGCCAAGGAAACACAGAAACTTCCTCAAAAGAAAGACAGATGGCTCTAAAATTATGAAATGATGCTCAACCGCACTAAAATAAAAAAACTCATGAAAATTAAATTTTATCCTATCATATCATAGATTACTCAAAAGTTTGACAATAGCCAGTGATGGTAAAAGTGTTCAGCAATGACTTTTCTCACAGACTTTTGATGTACATAAATTTAAATATATATAATTTTTTACCCAAAATTTTTACTTCCAGGAAAAAGTACTAAGAAAATAACTGCATATTTGTGCAAAAATCCATCATAAGTGGTCCAAGGCACTTATTATATATCATTGTTTATATTCACAAAAAATTTGGAACTACCTTAAATATTTATCAATAAGGATTTAGCTAAATAAACCATGGTGCTCTTATATAATTTATTTTTATTAAGTCATTAAAAATGACCAAAAGGTTCATCTCTATTGACATGGGAAGTTGTCCACAACATATGGTTCAGTGAATTAGACAATTTATAAAAGTTACAAAACAATGCCTATACTATGATTTTATGTATACAATGGTGCTGGTGGTTTGTGATTTTTGTTTTTGTGGGTTTTTTTTAGTATCAGGTAAGGGTAGGGTCTGGATCAGGATGGTGTAGAGAGAATTATAGGACCCCGACCAGACTATCTATAGTGCTTATATCTTGGTTTGGGGGTTTCAAGTACTTTTAACTTTCTTTTTATTCATTTCAATACTGGTTGATTTTGTTTTTATATCAAGCAAGTTTTAAAAGCAGAAATAAAAAGTTTAATTTTAAAGAATAATATATTTACTTTTCTTCCCTTTCCCCCCCAAGAATAGTCAGTCCATTCCCTTTCTATGTCCCTGATTCATTATAATCACCAGTTCATTCTGTACATCAGATTATTTATTCACTTGGTTCTTAGATTCACTTGTTGATAGATGCATGTTTGTTGTTCACAATTTGTATCTTTACCTTTTTCTTCTTCCTCTTCTTAAAGGATACCTTTCAGCATTTCGTATAATACTGGTTTAGTGGTGATGAACTCCTTTAGCTTTTCCTTATCTGTGAAGCTCTTTATCTGACCTTCAATTCTGAATGATAGCTTTGCTGGATAAAGTATTCTTGGTTGTAGGTTCTTGGTATTCAGCACTTTGAATATTTCTTGCCATTCCCTTCTGGCCTGCAAAGTTTCTGTTGAGAAATCAGCTGACAGTCGTATGGGTATTCCCTTGTAGGTAATTGAGTCTCTTTCTCTTGCTGCTTTTAAGATTCTCTCTTTGTCTTTTGCTCTTGGCATTTTAATTATGATGTGTCTTGGTGTGGTCCTCTTTGGATTCCTTTTGTTTGGGGTTCTCTGCGCTTCTTGGACCTGTAAGTCCATTTCTTTCACCAGGTGGGGGAAGTTTTCTGCCATTATTTCTTCAAATAGGTTTTCAATATCTTGCTGTCTCTCATCTTCTGGCACCCCAATTATTCTGATGTTTGTACGCTTGAAGCTGTCCCAGAGGCTCCTTACACTATCTTCGTATTTTCGGATTCTTTTTTCATTTTGCTTTTCCGGTTGGGTGTTTTTTGCTTCTTCGCATTTCAAATCTTTGGCTTGATTCTTGCGCTCCTCTGGTCTGCTATTGGGTGTCTGTATAATATTCTTTATTTCAGTCCGTGTATGCTTAATTTCTAGTTGGTTCTTTATCATAGCATCGAGGGTCTCATTAGTTTTCGTGACTCTCTCCTCAAGTTTATTGACAGCTTCTAGCACATTTTTGCAAGCCCTCAAAATTGCGATTTTTAGCTCTATATCCTCCATTTCTGTCATGTTTTTTTGTCTCCGCATTTTTTATGCTTTCTTGGTGCACCCCCTAGTGGTCTTTGTGCGCAGTCTTGTTCTCGTTGAGCCTTGATTGTTGTAGTTAATACTAGAGGGATTTGACCACCAGGCCGACTGGCTGTGAGAATCAGCTGTGTCTGCTGCAGTGGGAAAACTTCTGTCCTCTGGGGGGGCGCTAATCTAGCCTTTGCCTGCGGCGATCCGGCAAATGGCTCTGCGCAGGGCTTGGGCGGGGCGGGCTCAACAGGGCGGGCGGAGGGAGCCGTTATGGTGCCCTCAGTCCTGTTCCCAGAGGCTCTGCTTCTCAGAACCCCCGGAACCGCTGCAAACCTCGGAGGGAAAGCTGCCTTCCAACTGATGCCAGACACTCCCGCTTCTCCCGTTTGGGTCCGAGTCCCCAGCGATTCGCCCGTATCTGGAGCTCAGAGTCTGAGACTCCCCCCTGACCGAAAACGACAACCGCGCTCTCAGCCACCAGCCCGCTTTGCGCGCGCACCTCCGCACCTGAGTTTTTTCCACACTGCGCCTCCTCTGAGCCTCGGTGTGCTGTTATTTTTCCTTCTAGTTGAAGAGTCTCTCCTCAGCCAGCCTTCCTGTGGTTCTGGGTGATGTCCGTTCCATCTTTTAGTTGTATTTTTGAAGTGGTTGTTTGCGGCAGCAGTCTCCGGTGTTTACCTATGCCGCCATCTTGGTGGAGTCATATTTACTTTTCAAAGATTTAATTCTAAAATCCTATATATGCCCACCGGCATGGCTCAGTGGTTGAGCATCTACCAATGAACCGGGAGGTCATGGGTTCAATTCCCGGTCAGGGCACAAGCCCGGGTTTTGGGCTCGATCCCCAGTAGGGGGTGTGCAGGAGGCAGCCAATCAATGATTCTCTCTCATCATTGAATTTTTTATTTCTTGCTCCCTTTCCCTCTCTGAAATCAATACAAATATATAAAAAAATAAAATAAAATCATATATGTTTAGGTTATTTGAATTTCAAATGTGATTTAAATTCTTGAAATTTTAGGAAAATTTAAATTGATATGCATGCGTATGTGTGTGTGTGTGTGCGCGCGCGCGTACAGATATTAAAAGGGAAATATTTAATTAGTAAATTTGATGAAATTATTTTAGTAAAATTTAACCAACTTTGGAGAATTCTGGAAATTTTTAAACCATGGGTGACTGTGACTTTAAAAATGTGCCCATTTTTTTGTTTTTCTAAGTCAGGGGTTAATAAATTAGGAGCCTTGGGCTATATTCAGTCTGCTACCTGTGAACTGAAAATGGTTGTTACATTTTTAAATGGCTGAAAAAATTAAAAGAATATTTCATGACAAGTAAAATGATAGGAAATTCAAATTTCAGTGTCCATCAATAAATTTTTGAATTAGATTAATAAAAATTTTTTTCTCTCTCTCTCTTTGTCTCTCTCTCTCCCTCTTTTTGGTTCTAGAAGTACCTATATAATATTCTTGATTTTTCATTTTGGCCCCCAAGCCCCAAAATATATATCATCTGGCTCTTTACAGAAAAGAGGACCCGCAGCCAGACATGCAAGTCACCTTCGCGTGCAGCAGCCTCCCCGTCTCTCCTTGCTGGCTGAGGATGGCTGTAGGGAAAGGAGAGGTAGCGGATGTTTTTGGCACCGGCCTGTAGGGAACAAGCAGAAATAAAAGCAGAGTTAGCTACTGCGATTGGAAGTTCCACGTGGCAAACAAAGTGAAGGACACAGACTTATGCTGTGGCAGCTTTCTTGGATCATTGGCTTTCAGTTATTTTTGTCTAAAAAACCCAGAATGCTTCAGCCTTTAATATGCTGTATATTTGCTTTCCTTGTCATGATAAAATAGACCATTACAAATCTCTCAAAGTTATTCCCACAGCCTCACTGAGATTAGGGTGGAGAGGAGGGTCTACCCCAGACGCAACTGCATCCATTGGTCGCTTTGATAGGGCCTCAAATAGAATAGCTCAGATGCACAGCGGGTGACATGGAAATAAGGTCCACGTGTCTTGGCTAAAACAACTTCTTCGCGGGAGAGGTAAGCTTCCTAGAGCCAGGGGCGCTGGTTCCCGGAGGTGCAGGCTCCTTCAGTCCTGGCCGCCATGGAGTCCGGTCCAGACTCAGGACACAGCGTGCGCTGCAGTCACTTACCCCTCCCGGAGGAGAGAGCCCTTGGTTCCTAAGGTCCTGGACTCCCAGAGGGATACCTGAGCATGTGTCCTGCCCCCACTGCCTTTGCATCTCTCTGCCAACAAGGCAGTGGTTTTGTTTGTTTAAGTGTCAGCGGTAGTCACCCAGGGGCCCGTCCTGGGATGAGCCAGCTCTCAGGTGTGTCCACCTTACAGGCCACCCCTTACCGGCTTTCCCCATGGCAGGCTGCGGCCTTTCCTCATACTCTCGCGTAAGGTGTTCTGGCGGCGGATCAGGATCTCTTTAGCCTGCTTCTCAACTGTTCGGGATTTGAGGTTGTATTTGTTATAGGACGGTGTCTGCAGAAAGAGGAACATCAAATACGAAAGGAATCTCCAGTTTAACTGTCAACCTCAGGAGGCTATAAAAATATCACAAATTGAGACTACTAGAGCAAGAAGACACCATGCAAGCCGTCTGAGCATTTTCCTCAATTACAGGGGAGCAGGCTGTGGCCCCCAAAAGAAAAATTTGTGACGGAGGCCACCCCTATTGGGACTCCTGTGGTTGGAGTGGTGCCTCCTGGCTCACAGAGCGGTGCTCTCCACCTGTCCTGTCCCTCTGTTACCCTTGCAGGTACCCCCAATACTCACAGACTTGTGCTGCCCCATATACACACTTTCTTTCCTAGTGTTTTTTATACTAGGCCAGTGGTTACTGAATTTAATGAATCAGGAAAATGTCAGAACTATGTTGGGAATTTCTATAAGGTTGCTATTTTTTAATTTTGCCAACTAAAGATACATTTAAAAAATCAACCAAATACATCATCTTAGATAAAGAAACAGATCCAGAGACAGAGAAGCATCAACCAGACCATCAAACCTCAGAGGGAAGGCAGGGGAGGGTAGGGGTAAGGGGGAGAGATCAACCAAAGGACTTGTATGCATGCATATAAGCCTAACCAATGGACACAGACACCAGGGGGGAGTGAGGGCATGAGCGGGGGTGGGGTGGGGGGGTCATTGGGGGAGATGAGGACACATATGTAATATCTTAATCAATAAAGAAAATAAAAAAAGAATAGTCCTTCAAATTGAATCAATTTAGCTTTATGAAAAATTACTTCCTTGTCCTTATCAAGGCCAGTAAAAACCTCTGTTGAACCATAGACCAACATCAGTCCTCAGATGTTTACAAAGTGCTTAACTGGAACTTCTCTCCTTTCTTTTCACTCAAAGTTACCAGTGAATATCCTGTTTCCTGTGGGTTAGTAGGTTTCTTAAATAATAGGATCAGGACTGAAGATGCGATCACTCTTGGCTAACCAATGCTTTAATAGAATATTCGATTTAATAGCAAAAGAGTAAATGTCTATGTGCCAGGTGCCATGATAGACATGAAACTTAAAAAAAATGGTTAAGTTAGAATTATGATCTTCAAAGGCTTCTAGTCTACTGGGGGAGTTATACAAATAAGTATATACTGTTATGTGCTCAGGTAAGTGAGAAGATGTTGGGGTGTGCAGGGAGTATGGAGGACAGGCAAAAGGCAATCAGTTGTCTAGTGTTTGTATTTTAGTGTATATACATCCAGTTAAGTATATTTGTGGCCTTTATCATCTATTAACTAAATCACAGTTAATTAAGTCTCATAAAATGGCAATTGTCTAAAAATAGTTTCATAAAAAAGGCATAGGTTGAGGGGGTGGGGTGGTCAAGGAAACAAAGGTGAATTAGGAAAGCCAGCTTTCTCTTTATGCTGATGGGAGAACTTTGACAGCCACTCTTGACAAATTAACCAATCTGACAAGAACTTGTCCAAAAATTTGCATTTTAAAGATAGTTTGAAATGTGGGTTTTTATCCACCATCACTAATGATGGACTTCAACCTAATTATCTATATTATAAAAACCCAGTGGCCCTAATGCCGTAACAACCAAAGACCGGTGGGGGTGGGTAGGGTGTGAGTGCGGCGGGGCGCGTGCAGGTGGGCGGGGCCATGTGATTTCACACCTGGGCTTCTAGTATTTTATATGTTGAGACATTAAAGAATGACATATAACACTATCATAAAATATTTTTAAAACTAGAGGCCCGGTGCACAAAAATTTGTGCACTCGGGGAGGTTGCTCAGCCCGGCCTGTGCCCTCTTGCAGTCTGGGACCCCTCAGGGGATCTCCACCTGCTGGCTTAGGCCCACTCCCCAGGGGATCAGGCCTAAGCTGGCAATCAGACATCCCTCTGGCAGCCTGGGAGACCTCGGGGGGATGTCCACTTGCCAGCGGGGAGCAGGCCTAAGCTGCAGTTGGACATCCTTAGCGCTGCTGAGGAGGTGGGAGAGGCTCCCACCACCACC